CGTGCATGCGCGCGCGCGCTCTGCGTACTTGTACACTGGAAAGGAAGGAGAGACCGAGCAAAAGCTGGGAATCTGGAGGATTGAGAGGAGGAATGTTTGGGGCTAAAGGATGGTGTGAGGAGTAGTTATGTTTTCAGTTTAAATTACTGTGCTGAAGAGATCAATAAAACACAAATGCTTCTAAGCAATAAGCCCCACTTTCTCAAGGACAAATAAATGTGTAAGTCCTTCTTGCCCAAGGACAGAAAATTTCCTGAAATGCCAGGGGCTGTTGCTCATGTAAGATAGCTATGTCTTCATTTTTGTACACAAATTTGGTTGCCTCAACTGCACAGGATGTGCTTGCTCATGCACAGGATGTATGCTCGCCCCCGATTGGCCAAAAGCAGGAAGTACATAGCCTTGTGGGTTTTGGAAGCACTGGACTAATAACTCGTGGCCATTGTCTGGGAATCCTGGGGGGTATGGACTTGGCCAGTGTCCATTATCCTGGCCAGTATTTTAAATATATATATATATATATATGTATATAATTTCCAGTTAGCAGAGTAAAGATAGTCCAAAAGTTCTACACCCGTTTCTCTGCTTCCTTGTGACTATTCCCTGGTTGAGAAGACTGAATTCACTTGGCCCCTGAACTCTGCCTGCCCTATATTGCATTTAACTGTTCTCACAAATAAAATGACTATAAGCACAGAAGCAGATCACTCAGTATTTAGCAAGGCTTACGTTTATCCACCCTGATGTCCTTAAAAAGGCGGACCTGGCCGGAAACCAGGAGTAATAGAAGCAGGACCACTAACAGAAGTGACTCAGCTCATAGTCTCGTCTGTTCCAGCGCACACAGGCTCTGACAAAAAATGCACCTCAGTGGATCCCTAACTCGTTGCGTGTACTGAGCAACCCAGATGGTATGCGCTGCAGCAGAATGCCTTGAGTTGGCATTCCGTTACTCCCCAGCTCTGAATCTGCATGCCAGAAGCAGCCTTGGACCTGAGTCTCTGCTTGGGTGTATGAAATACTGTCTCTGAGAACGACAGATGAATTGAATTGGGGGTGGCTCAGAAGCTATTTCAGCAGAATTACGGTGTTTTAAATATCACAATACCTACCTCTGAATATTCTTGCAGAGCAGTAGTAAGCTGTAGTGTGTGTGTGTGTGTGTGTGTTCTACCTGCTTAGTGTAACCATGAACTGCTGAGGCTACAGAAATGAACTTGAATACAGCCCTCCTGTTACACCTAGTGGGACGAGACAGACCACCGGAGAGGAAACAGACTAAGAAGGCTGCTCTATATCCAGGTGGGATCTGAATGATGAAAAGCAATCATTATGGAGCCCTTGTGGAAAGACTCTTCCAGAAAGATTGTCATGGTTTGATCTGAAATGTCCCTCAAACACCCACAGGCTTTTAACAGCTTTGTCCCCAGCCATTGGTGCTGTGTGGCGATGGACAAACTATTGTGGGAGGGATATAGAAAGTTGAATACAGGGATATATATATATCCTTGAAGTGATTGAAGTGACTTCTTCCCTGCTGCTCCCCCTCCCTGGCCCCACTTGGCTTCCTGGCTACCTTAAAGTGAGCAGCTTGGGTCCACGGGTGCGGCCCGCCATAGTGATGAGCCTTGACCAGCCTCAAAGCTGCAGGCTCAGCAGCAGCAAGCTCTGAACAATGATGTGTTGATAAACCTTTTTTGTGTTTTGCCAGAAGACAAACCAGAAGGCTGCAATGATGATTGCGCAGGTGCAAGAAGCCAGGGGGTTTGTGGGGTGGGGATTCCCTGCTGGCAACTTTCTGTGCTGAGTAAGAACTTCCAGAAATGTCAGTTCAGCTTAAGCCATTTATTCCATGCTAAGCACACAGAGAAGTAATTAATGTCCTAAGCCAGAGGTTTTATTTATTAAAATCAGGCATATTCTCAAGGAAAGAATTGTCACATGAATGCTGAGCACACAGACGTGAGCCACATCTTTGGGCAATGTATAGATTTCTCCTGTTCAAGTGCTTACTTTGAAAGAGAAAAACCTGAACAGTCACCAGGTACTGAAAACCAACCAAAAGTCCCTGGTACTGAGGACCCAGCACACAAATTGGCTCTTGCTTACTGACACTTTATTCTAGTACCAAATAAGCAGCCAGAAGAAAGGACAAAGCATGGTTGAAGGTTAGATAAGGATAAGAACAAGGTAATTTGATATTTGGGAACTGGAAGGATTTTTAAGTGAAGGTGTCCAGTTTGGCATCACAAAGGTGGCATTTGTGGAAGAAATACAAACGCTAAGGGGAAAGTGCTTAAACCCAGGAATGCTCAGGGCAAAGGTCCTGAGGCAGAAGTGTCTAGTTAGGCTGAGGAAAAAATGAGGGGATAGTAGTTAGTTGCTAGTGGGCATGTCTGTTGAATATAAGGTCAGGGCGCTAAAAGAGGTGTGTGCAGAGAGGCAGATCATGAGAATCTTAGAGCTAGAAAACATTTTGGCTTTCTTGATATGTATAGAGCCACAGAGGTGACATGATCAATGCTTTGTTAGAATTTTCCTAAATGGAGGTCAGTAGACTTCAGGGGAACTAGGGAGAACATTTTCATGTTTTGGAAAAATAAAAAGAGCATTATATTAGCATGTCCTTTAATTTTGCTGGAGAGGGAAATAGCTTAAGCAAAGCTGAAAACACCCCCTTGCCTATCCTACGTTTCCTCCCCATACCAAATTACTTTCTCTCAAGCCCAGAAAAGTCCCTTTCAGCTCTGGGCTACAGCTACCCTTATTTCAGGCTATTTATCTTGTCCTGTGTATCAGTGAGGATCTTCTTGGTCTAAGTAACCGAATATCTGACCCCAAAAGCCTTAAGCAAAGAGCCTTTTACTATTTTGGGTGAGGAGCAGGCTGGAGCTACTGTGTGGAGCCATCCAAGGTTAAGTTAGCCATTCAGTGACACTAGGGTTTGGGGTCCTCCTGGTGCTTTTGTAAGATGTGCTGCCACAGTTGATGCCAAGGCAAGGTGTAAGGGAAAAGACTCCCTAGTGGCTGGCAGGATGGAAAACTTCCCCTGAGCGCCCTGCTCCATCCTGTTACCTATTGACTAGGATCAGGTCCCATGCTCAGCCCCTCAGTCGGTCCCTACCAGAGAGGGACAGAGGACAAAAGCGTAGATCAGTGATCTCAAAGGATGAGCTAACACCCTTGGAAGGGTCTCCCCAAAAGTCCTCCAAAGGGGATCTATGAATTACTTTTGCTGAAACACTAAGCCATTTGCCTGAGTATACAATGGGGTGTTCCAGAGGCTGCCAGAAACAGCGTCACAGACATAATGTAGACACTTAAAAACGTGTATGTCTTCTACATGTAAATAAACATGCAAATTTCTAAATACCATGGGGTTTTTAAAGCAGTACAGATTTTCATGAAAGTCTACCATTTTGTGTTGACATTGATTTTTGATGTTTTGCTAAACTTTTAAAAGTTTTCCATAGTGTGGTATTATCCACAGATACGACCTATACAAACGAACGCTTTTGGGAGACCTTGTTACTTCACTGTGTGAAGCATGTCCCAAAGGCGGAACACCTCTCGATTATTCGGACAGATTGAAATGAATGACTTAGCTAACCCAGGAGTAAGCCAGAGTGAAGTGGGAAAGATGAAGCCCCTAATTGTTTCAAAAACCGATGTCATATTAAGATATTTCTTGGGATAGGAAAAGGAGTGCTATTTTGTAGAAGGGGCAACGGAACTTTCCGAACGCCCCATTAGCGGGCTGATTTGGGGAGCAAGACAGCCTTGGCAGTGGTTTCTCACTAGCCTCAGCCCTGCGACCTCAAGATGGATCCTTTCTGTGTGTACTCAAGGACATCTAATCTGTGTCCCTCCTCTTCTACCCACTGCTCATTTCTGCACCCTGATCTTCCATCCAGGATTGAGGCTGCGTGTAGTCCTCCTTCCTCTCTCTCTCTTGTTCTTCGGTGGCAGTGGTCGGCGTGTTTCTTGTTTTCCTTCCATGTTGTTTTGGTCTCAAATTGCTCTCAGGAGCCAATTTAGAACTCCAGCCCGTTTTTCTCCTCTTGGGTAAATACCTGGCTAGAACCTCACCACCCTGCCCTTCACTGCGATTTCTCCATCTTCCTTTCCCCAGGGAACTTTAGGCGGACATGATAGGGAGAGGCAGAAGGATTTGGCCATCTGCTGCTGTCCTGTGTTTTCTCTACAGTGGGACGCCGAATGGGCCTAAGGAGTTTTTCATCAACTTCTAGTTCACAAGTGCCATGTTTTTTAGTTTCCCCTGCAGCCGTCCCCTCCCCAGGTCCGTTTCTTTGCCTTAACCTTATTTGCCACTGGTGCTTTACTCACACCACCCAGGCTGGCCTCGGGCTCCCAATGTAGTCGAAGATGACCTTGAACTTCAGTTCTGCCGGATCACCGACCCTTATGGGCGCGCTGCGTGCGGTCCTGGGGACTGAACCCAGGACTTCACGCCCATTACCCTGGCCCTGGTTTCACACGGCTTTTTGTACCACTGGCATGTTCGGCACTCACGATTCCCGAGGCCACTACCTCCCTTCCCCTGGGCCTGACCTAATTCTGGACGCCCGTTGGTGTCTCTCCATTCTGGCGAGCGCACCTGGTTCCCTTGGGAGCCCCGCTTTCGTTCCTTGAGGAGCTGGGGCTCGGGGGGCCTCGGAGGCCGGGCTCTACAGCAGCTAGGACCCTCCCCGTGTCCCCGCGGAGAGCTGGGGGCGGAGAGCTGGGGGCGGGGGGCAGCGGCCGGGTGAGCTCGGGCGTAACAGGTGCGGCGGCCGCAGCTGCGCCGGGGAGAGGCGCTCGGCGTCTGCCCGGGGCTTTTCGGAGGCTCAGCCCCTCTCCGGACCAATGAGGGCCGCGGTTGTTCGTCGCCTGGCAACCGGCGGAGCCAATGGGCGGCGCCAGCGCGGGGCGGGGTGGGATGGGCGTCCGGCGAGGGAGGCGGCGGGAGGCGGGCCCGGCGGGCTGGAGGCTGCGCGGAGCGGCGGGCCGGGCGGGGAGCCGCTGCGTGCCGCCGCGGGTGCGGGCCCGCGGGCTGCGGGAGGCGCGAGCCGCTCCCGGTGCCGTGACGGTGAGCGGCGGGATTGTGACGCGCAGCCGTGGAAGGGCACCGGGCTGGACGTGGGCGCAGGCACCAGGGCCGGCTCTCGGCGGGCTCGGCGCAGCCGTTGCGGCGGTTGGAGAGCGTTGTTGCCCGCCGCCTGCAGCGGGAGGTGCGAGGTAGGTGCTGGGGGAGCTTCCCCGCGCCCTTGCGGGGTGCGGCGCGGGCACGCGCGGGGTCCCCTCGGCCCGCGGGCTCGGCGATTTCTCAGAGGCTGCCGCAGGACTTAGCGAGAGGTCCGCTGCTGCACGGGTAGGTGCCTCGGAGTGGTCCAGCCCCACGTTCAGGGGAAGAACTTACATCATCACAGCGGTAGCCTTGGTTGAGGAATTATTTGGTCTCGAATTTTCCAGTGTTGTACAGTGAATGGTGAGGAATACAGCGCGTATTTCTCCTAGTGCAGAGCTCCGGGTTATGCAAAGTCACCTGGGCCCGGGAAATAAAACTTGCCAAATAATTCCCCATCAGCACCAGTAGAGGAATCTTTACATTAACACCCGCAGTTCAGGCTCCTTCGCCCTGCCAGTCATACTCTTAACTGGCAACGCTGATGCAGTTGTGAGAACTGGGATTTCCTTCTAGAATCTAGACTGTATGGAAGGTGAAGGGCTCCCAAGCCCAAGGGTGAGAGCTTCTTGGATTTGGGATTTCCTTCCATTCAGATTGGAGTCCAGGCCTGGAGTTAGAGGAGAATAGTGCTACCATGGAGCCCACAAGGTTCTGGAAGAAATCCTTCTAGCCCATAATTTGGTCTTGAACTTGAAAGGCCTGTATATGACATGACACGTTATGAGATTGGATAAAGTTTGAGAAGACCTGGATTAGAAAAATGCTATCTTGAAATGTAGAACAGAGGCAGATTTGTAAACTTCAATCCAGCCAGCAAAACTTAATCCCTCCAATCTCCTTAACTCCCCAAGAGCCTGCAGGCCAGGAAGCTTAGAGTGTCCATTCAATCTAAACAAGTAAAAAGGAGCTGTGATCCCATTCGACACTGACCTGCCTGGTGTGCACGAAAGTTCCTCACACAAAATGGTTCTCTGAGAGGAGGATTAGGAATGGATAGAATTCAGACCGGGGCTTTTTTGGTGAGTGGTGGGGCCCCAACAGTCTAGTCATTTTACACCCTTCTCTTCTCATTCCCCATCTGTACCGTGAAGATAATGAGGTCCAGGGATTAGGTAATGGGGTGAGGCAGCTTGAAGATAACTGCAGAGGCTTGGTTTTTCCAGGATGAAATGGAAAGCTCTCTCCATAACACATTGTGCCTTGTGACAAGACTTGTTAAGTGCATAGCATCCTAGACTTGCTGAGGCAGGTGTGTACAAAGTGGAAACGTTAACTGTTTGTATTACCCCAGAGGCCTCAAACCCAGCCCAGTCAAGTTATATAGTTGTGTTCTCTTAAAACCGGGCAGACCAGTTCTTTGGCCCAAACCGGATAGGATACAGATTTTGTGGATGTGCCCTCCTCCTTCACTTAGCATTCAGCTAGAAATTCAGCTAGGAAGACTAGAAAAACGCTTTCCCACAGTGATTTGAATGTATGTTAAAATGGGAGCCGCAAGCTCTGTATGCCTGCTGGTGCCTTTTATCCCTGCTACATGGGAGCCTGAGATAGGTGGATAGCCTGAGTTTAGGAATTCCAGGGCAACAAACAGATTCTGTTTAAAAACAACACCCTCTTGTTCCTTGGGGAACCAGACCCAGAGCCATGCATGTGCTGGCCAAAGGTTCTGTTGCTGAGGTTTGAAGACCAGTGCCCCTTTATTTTGAGGTGGGGTTGCCTTGTTACTGGCTTGCCCAGGCAGGCCTTGAACTTGCAGTTCTCCTGCCTCAGCCTCCCAGGTGTCTGGAATTATAGCCCTCTGCCTCTAGGCCCAGCTGCAGAAGCGATTTTAAGTGCTAGCTTCCTGTATCCTTTACAGTAGCTGTGAACATGTGGTGGCTTAGCCATCTGTTCATACCAAGAGTCTTTTCTGTGTCTTGGGTCATTGTGGCTAGCTGGTAATGAGCATGTATCTTACCTTCAATTCGTGAGCTTATGGGAAGAGATAGAGAAATACATCATCCATTATTAGGAAAACCTCATACCATTTGATGCTGGCCCATTTTGTATAGTGTAGGAGCAGATTTATTATATGTTAATAAATTTATTCTTTGAATAAATATTTATTATCAGACGCTCAGCTGCTACTTGACAGGCCTAAGGATAAAAAGATGTGTTCCTCTGAATAGTCTGTACTTAGGGAGTTTTTGTGTGGAAAAGGAAAAAAATCCGAATGTGGAAAGGTTGTAGAAAAGAAGGCATTTTTCAGCTGTGTCCTGACAGGTGCCCAACGAGCAACTGTTGCATTGTGTGCAGCGAAGCAGGTGCAGCTTACAGGTGGTTGGTGCCATCCCTTTGTCTGGGGACTGCAGGTGGCTGCTGGAACTGCATTAACAATAAGAGTCAACAGTGGTGCTGTGAACCTTGACCGGAAGGCAGTGAGCAATATCTGAACCGTTTTATTGGGGATTAGATTGCTTCTGATGTAGTGTATGTCTGCCCGTCAGTAATTTATGTAGTCCTCGGGGCTCTAGACTTCTGTGGTCCAGGTAATTAATACCTGAAAGCAGCCGGTTTTTCACAGGTCATGGAAATGAAGCTGACAGGAGCCTTTTAAAAGCAGCAGTGATTTCTGGAAAGCAGGTCTTTGTTGAGTTGTCTTCTGTGCCAGGCCTGGTCGGCAGAGATCAAAGGTGGTGGAGATGCAACCCACTGGTGGAAAACAGTCAGCGCAGAACCCGAGGGATAGGAGGCCCCGAAACGTCAGCCTGAAGCCATGTGGGATTTGGAGAGGAGACTCTGGAACCAATAACGAGTCTTAGTGGAAGTTAAACAGAATTGTGTGACTGCAGTTCTGAACTGCCACTGCGTCTCCTTCCTTCAGATTCTCTTGGCAGTCAGATGCTCCTTTCCACACTGGTCCTCTGCTGGTAATCCAGGAGGGATGCTAACGCTGTGACCTGCTTCCTGGGGTTGCGCTCGCTGAGTACGTGTGTCCTGATAATAGCAGAAGTCGGGAGCCTTTGGAACACTTGGTGTGTGAGAAGTGTTTGTAATTAGCCAAGCTTGGTGGCACATGTAAAATCCTTGCACTTTGGAGGCTGAGGAATAAGGACTACAAGTTCAAGGCCAGCCTGGGCTACTCGGAAATCCCTGTCTCAAAAACCAAAGCAAAAACCTAAACAAGCTGATAAAAAGCTATGATTGAGCTGGGCGCTGGTGGTAGTGGTGGTGGTGGCTGTGGTGGCTGTGGTGGCTGTGGTGGCTGTGGCTGCAGTGGCTGCAGCGCCAGCGCAAGCCTTTAATCCTAGAATTTGGGAAACTTTCATTCCAGCACTTGGGAGGCAGAGGCAGGATCTCTGAGTTTGAGGTCAGCCTGATCTTCAGAGTGAGTTCCAGGACAGCCCAGGCTACACACAGAAACCCTGTCTCAGAAAGAAAAAAGTTCTGATTGAGGGAAAGGGTCTCAGGCCGGGATAATGGCCATGGGCTTTCCAGCATGCCTGTGTAACTACTGTGTGATCCAACATAAAACCATAAGTACTGAATTGGGGGAGGTCTTCTGAGTCTTGTTTTTATGTAACTTGATTGTGTGGTTCTCATGAGTAATTGTGAATTAGTGTCAATTCACAGTGTCAAAAGGTTGGCCTCAACTTTAGTCTGCAAAGCCTACGCTTCCTAGGCATCTCTGGATGTCTGTATGTTTACCCAAACCCAGTTCCATTAACCTTAGTCTTCTGTCCTAAGTAACATGTTGTCTAGTACCAAACATAGGCTTTTATTTGAGAAAACGTGTGTTCTTTCTGCCTGATCCCGGTACGTTTATTTTCTGTCCTTCTCTTTTTCCACCAGGTAGCCCATCATGACCATAGACTTCTTCATTTACTATGTCTTTCTTGACAATTTTTTATTTTAATAAAAGTAATATGTGCTTCTTATATAATGAAAATTGGGTCTGGGTGTGGTAGTGCACGCCTTTAATCCTAGTGCTCAAGAGACTCAGGCTGGTGTTTGTGTGGTCCGTGTGGGCGTGGGTGAATGTATATGTAGCACTCCTGTGTGAAAGGTCAGAGGACAAGCTCAGGTTTGAGTCATTGGGTGCTTTCCACCTTTTGTTTGAGACAGGGTTTGTTATTGGCCTGGGATTAGGCCACATTTTGGTGGAAAGAACTAATGAGAGAGATTACCTATTTCATACTTGTAGTATTTTATCTACAACTACAAACCTGGAGAAATAAAAAACTACTACCACATTCTAAAATCCTCATACATCCTGGCCCACTCAAAATCTCCCAGTGAATGATGGGACTTCCCTGAGTCTGCTTAACATTATAAAGTAGCATAGCTAATGATGGAGTGCCATCCATAGATTTGCCCGTCTCTGCCTCCTATCATCTGGCTCCTGGCTCTTCTGCACATTTCCTGGGATCCAAACTCAGGTCCTCGAGCTTCTGAGACAGTTTACTGATTGAGTCTTTCCTTACCTTTTAACACACATTCTTTTGTTAACTTGTTTTATTTATTTTAATAATAAAACAAAGGGGGACTTTGACAATAACCTCTATGTAGCTATATAGAGACCCCTCAGTCCCTTTTCCATAAGGCAGTGATCACTGAACCCTGCGTCATTCTGTGTCCTTTAAATACAGATTTATCACATTTGCTTCCCATACATATATAATTAAAAACCAGGTGTTACATTCCTGTCTCTTGTAACAATCTTTCAGTTGTGTCTGCTTTATAATGGATCGTCTTGGGAGTAGGTCCCCTTTTCCCCCTGTGCTGTCGGAGGTGAGTGCTTAGGTGTTGCAGGGTTATACCTTGAGCTACTCCCTGCTGTTGTGGGTGTGTGAGGACTGCCCTACCAGTCCAGACTAGCCTAGAGTTCATGTCTGCACAGTCCTCCTGCAGCAGCTCTCGTGGACGTGAGGGCTGCCCCGCTGCCTACCCTAGAGGCTAGGAACCTCACGAAAATTGTGTCCCCACATGAAACCTTTTATCATAATTTGCATCCCCACTCTATTTTATTCACCCATTTCCCAGTTGGGAGATATGATTAGAATCTCGCCTT